TCTAAAATTGTTAATTTAAGCTGCAGAAAACTGAATAAATTAATTAACCTTTGAAAGATTTTGAAAAAGAATTGAACCCAGTCCACAGGTTATTAGCAAATATGTGGAACTGATGAGAATTATTAAAATTTATTATTATGACTCTGTATCACAAAGTTCCAATATGCACTTTATTGCATTTATTGACGTAATACTGTCCGGTAATAATTCACATTTTACACTTTTGTGTTTGTATACATATGAATTAATATTATCTAGGATAAAACTTCTAATCTTCAAATCTAGGTTTCAAATAAACTAAGGATCTCGTTTCGATCTTCTGTAGGCGTGACGTGATACTTTTCAGGTCCGTTCTATCAATATTCCATTCGTGGGTAATCTTGTAGCTCTCGTTCCTATTTCTCCCGCTACACTTAAAGTTCCTGACCCGTTCCTTAATCCAACGTTGCCCAAATTCCCAATTATGGCTTGATCTCCTACATTAAAAGCAATCACAATAAAAATTATTACGTTGAAGCATATCATCCAATCCCAAGTAAACTCATGTTTCCTGCCATTGCTATGTGGTTCGTTCTTCTTATTATTGAGAAATTGACACTCGTTATTCGGAAGAAAAAAAATTGAGTATCATTGCCTAGCTTCTTACTAATGTTTAACAGCATATTTTATATCATTTGCTTTAAAGTCCTGACCAGCCCAACTATAGAAGAAGAAGTCTTAAATTATTAATTGTTTTTCAGTCAATAGAATTGATCCAGATCTTTAGTCATTTCTAGGTTATACACTAATTATCACATTGTCACAATAAAGACGCATCTAAGTACTTTGTTGAGTAAGAAGCTTGACAAATCTTGTCAGATGTCATTTGTATGTCAAATCTAGACACATCAATGTCACTGTCAATCTTAGCGTGGTCATCAATCATCATCTGTTCTCAATTCAGCACTCAAGATAAAGAATTGCTGTCATATTCACCTTGGTCAATGCAACCTTCAAATGAAGAAATTATCAGGACGTTTCCCAAAAAAAGAATGAATTTAAAACTATCATATTGTTTCATTTACCTAAAAAAGGCAAGTCTAATGATTTTATTACATGATGTCATGTAATTGGCATCTTCATTGTCATTGCATATTTATTTACCTACGTGCGTGTGCAACTTCATACTCGTACTATTAACAAATTATATAATTCTTACGTTCATCATGACTGTCGTATTTTTTACTTCCATATGTTTTTTTTTTGTTTCATGACCATGAACCCTGAATGATGCCACAATAAAATTTTAATAAGATTAATTTTTTAAGGAATTTTAATAAAAAAGGAAACTGCACATTGATGGAATTATTGTAAATTGGTAATTTCACAGTTTAGGTTGTAAAAAATATTAATTAAACTTCAATCAATTGTATAGAATTAAGTTAAGCTGCTATTACCTTAAAATCTTTTTAAACAAAATAAAATTTTCGTCACTTACGTTAATATTATGTAAATCATATTGATGAGAAGATTAAAATAAATTTGGGCAGTCACAATTAAGCTTTGCATTATAATTCATTTATTTCACCACCTTTTTAAAGGATGAGGATCGCCAATGTCTTTTTATGATATGGAAAAATATTTATAATAATTTTTTATCAAGCTGTGTTTTTCGCTTAAACCCTCAATTGTGTAAAAGTATTATAAAACATGCATGTTGACGTATTATAAATTTAATGGAAGTATTAGAAGAAAACAATTTAAGATAATTTGGCCACTCGACTTTTTGAGGAAATAAAGTCTAATAAATATAATACAATTTGAAATTTTTAACAGCCTTGGTATTTCCAAACAGCACAATGATTCAGAATCGAAAAAAATGTTCAAAAATTCAAAAATTTCATGTTAATTAAACTTTGTCTTTTAAATGCCAGATTAAAGACCTTACCTTTATGCATATCCTTTAAAAATATCTCGTTCCTTTTTCCTGTCTAACTCCAGAAATCATTAATTTAATCTCACCCAAAATTTGTTTACAATTTGTATATGAAAAAAAAAATATGATTTTTTCTACTTTAAGTTGTTATTTGGATGTCTTGGAATCAGTTGCTAGCTAATTTAAGCTTAGCTTTACACATTAAAACAACCAACTCAATAGAAATCTGCTTATTAAGCCTTAAAAATGGAATTGAAATCTGAGTATTTTTACAAAACTTAAACTATTCATAAGTTAAAAAGTCTTCCAAAGACTTCTCTGAAACCTATATAAATCAATTAATTAAGCTTAAATCTATCTCCCATATTACCGAGGACATGCCGTTTTCGAGATATTTTGGTAAAAATTCTATATTGGTAAAAAATCAAGTTTATCCTTTATATTAAGGACTGATTTTTTGAGCAATGAACGAAAACATTATGTAGAAGATGCTAAAAGAATCAAATCAAGAGAAATTAACAAAAACTTTCAATTTTCTAATGTGTGGGAACAATTTTGTGCACAAGGAATTTTTAAACACTATTTTCAAATCTGAATCATTGTTAACAGGAATAATGAATCTGAACTACTTTTGATAAGTTTTTAATCCAAAAACTTAAATATTTGTTGATTCTCAATGTTTATCAAGTTCAAAGGAACTCTTACTAATAAATAGTACTTATAACTTGTATTAGTAATGGTTTTCAAAACTTATTATGTAATTTACTAATAAATTTAAAGTTCTTTTTGATACAATATAAGTGCTGTTCTTGTTTTTTTTTTTTGTTCGTCTGTTCTCTATAAAGAAATATTAATTTTAATACCCATAAAATGTATCACAATAATGTAATACAATGAAAAATTAAGCTAAAAATCATCTTGAAATTGGCAAATGAAAAATTAATACATCTAAAATGAATTTTTCTTAATTGACCTGTATTATATAGACAATTAATTAATGACAACTAGAAAATGTTATCAACTACGAGTATTACTTGTGAAGTGCGAAATTCTTTTCTCTTTCTTGTTCGCCATCGGTTTCATGCTATAAGCATAAAAATCTTTTCCTTTACATACACAAAATTAGATAAAATATTGCATGACATATGAATCATCGGAATGTTAGTAATTTCCTGAACAAGCTAGCAATAATAACAAAATGTTTTGTTAAAATTCTCCTTTGCAACTTTCTGGGAATTTAAGATCGTTTGCGAAATTTTTCTAAGATCGCACATTCTGTGATGACTAATATTCATGCATATTAGATTTTCCCGATTTTCCTCAAAATTGTTTCAAAATTAAATTATTTTGAATAGTTTTAAAATAAAACTTTAAAAAAGTTCAAAAATAAGATTTTAAAAAAAAATTTAAATGTTTGATATTTAACTGGTTTTTATTATTTGCAGTTAAAAAGAATATTCAAAAATTTAAAAATCTAGTTTTTTTAACAGATTTTGATTTACAAAAATATTAAAGGTTTAAAATTTTAATTTTCAACTATTTTTAAAATTTTATAAACTTATAAACTTTAATTTACTAATTACATTTTCAAACTTTCAAAATCTTCACATTAATTTAAGTTCAATAATTCACAAAATTCAAACAAAAGAAATGCACGAAAAGCAATTAAATGATGAATCAAATTAATTTTACCTAATCAAGAGTAATGACTTGAACATTTCATCAATTCATTCAAGAAATAAAAAAAAATAATAATAATAATTAATTGCATAACCCAAATTCAAACTTTTAGTGAAAATAATCGAAATGTTCATCTTCTTTCCATCAAACTGAATGCTTTGCTGCGATATTAAGAACACATTTTGTATCTATCAGTATAGGAAGACATTAAAATGAAAAAAAAAAGCTTCAATTTCAAAATCGAGAGTAATTCAATTTATGAATTTAATTTTATAGCAACAAAGAAATTGCACGAGAAAACTTTTAAGTAGATTTCATTTCTCCAGCAGCACAAAGAAATGATGCTTTTAACTAGAAAAGAAAGAGGAAAACGAAGAAGAAGAATGGAATTCATTTCAAAAAAAAGCATAACAAGAAGAGAGAAAAAAAAGAAATTTATTGAATGCATCAACTAAGAGGAGAGAGGAGCGGTATCTTTCAACCTTCATATTACAACCGTTAGAAAATTGGCGTGAGTGCAAAAAGTCATAAACACAAAGAAGAGAAATATTCTCGATTATGCAAGTATTTCACGAAATGTTCATATAAGAGAAAACTAGCTTAGACTAAGGCATACGTGGCTGACAAAAGCGTATTTCAAAAATAAATGTAGAAATAATTTTGAAAAAAAAAACAGTCAAGTAAAACTTGAAAAAATAATAATCGTGCAATCTTTTTGAGCTTCATATTTAGACTAACCCTCTGTTTCATCAATTAGCATCAATAGTTAAGCAAAAGATGGACAGACGAACAAAAAACCAACAACAGGAAAATATTTCTCAGAGAAATTGCACAAAAAAGTGTGAGAGACGAGAAATTGGATCAAGGAAAATGCCAAGAAAATTTTCCATTTGATGTCATGGAACGTTCTTTGTGTGCTGCTTGTGCTCCTCTTCTACTCCCACTCGCTCGTTTGCCAACATCCTTGAAGCTATGAAAAAGTGCAATGAAAGGTCATATGAAGTTTAAATAATAAACCTTTTTTTTCTCTGCATCAAAATGGCTTCTTGTTATACAATGTTATAGATCGTAAAAGTTTTGAAATGAAGTTTTCTAATAGAAAATACCAAGAAAAAAAAAACATGCTTCGTGTATGGTCGTTCAAGAAAATTACATGCTTATTGTGTTGATAAGATTTTTTTTATGCAAAATGTCGTTTGAAAGGATTTGAAGTTTATGTCTTTTGCTGTTCTAGTTTTGCTGTTTTCCTTAAAACGAGTAGAAAATTTTGATATGAATTTTCTGACTTGTAACGGTTTTTATAAATTCATAAGATTCTGTGAGCAACTTTTTTAAAGCGTCACTTTAACATTTTATTTTCAAAATTGTGAATTTAAATTTTCAGTCATATTAAAAAAAATATCTTTAAAAATTGCAAAACATGTAAATTAAAAACTATTAAACTAGTTCCAAAGTATAATTAGACAATAAGCAAATTGATTAAAGTAAAAACATTGTTAAACGAGCTCAAAAAAGACGAAAAAAAAACTGAAAATTTTCACAACAAATTCAAAACTATTGCGAATGACAACAAATTTTCCAAAATGTCTGTAAAGCAGCTCAATCTTTGCATTATTAGCATAATAAAGTCAACCAAGAAGTAAGGAAAAAGTTTGTCAAGTAATATCCTTGTAACATCCATTCTACAAATTTCAACTTGCACATTATTATCAGAATGACACTATAACCTCAATTTTAAAATTTAGCACAAGGAGTGATGTGTTTTTATCATCAATTTCTTCTCAGCTATGGTAACAGATATGCAATGTGCATTAAGAGCAAAGCAATATTTTCTAAATGACTTTTTTATGCTATGACAGGAGAGAAACTAGAACAGATACGAATCTCAAGGAGAAATTACGTTCGCATGTTCATTAAATGAAGACTATCTCTAAATTTAGAGCTGTAATCAACAGATATGATGCAAAACAATATTTTCTGGGTTAAGTCCTTGTGGAATTTTCACCGGATGATATATTGAGGTTATAAGATATGAATGGGATATTATTATCGAGGTAAGTGATTGAAAATTGACCACCAAACTAGCACAGATAGTTCGAGAATCTTGACATCTGGATCTAGTCCAAATAAAGAGCTATAAAGATTCTTAATAATAAATAAAAACCGTAAATTTCACTAGAACCAGAAATTTTGAGACAGCAAACATTTCCGTATAGCTTCAATCTAAATTCCAATTTTACGAGACAAAAAACTATATTTCCGTATTGTCACAGCACACAAAAAAGTAGTTTGCACCTTCAAACATGCTGTATCGTCGTTGACGTCGTCGATGCAGGTAAAGCTATAAAATTCTTTTTTTATCGTCATCGGAAATGCTCAAGTCTCTTGCTAATTCTTTTGCTTTGCCAAAGAGTTCATCAACACCATCAATTTTTTATATCTTTTTTTTCTCTTTCTTTGTTCCCATGCAAAAGGAACAAAAAAGTTTTTTATATGCTGCAATTCTCACACGCCCAAAAAAAAAAGCCACATATATTTAATTTCTGTATATTTGTGCACAAATACAATAAATGATGAGTTAGAATGACATTTCGTCTTAATTCTACATGATGTTGTCTGACGAGCATAAAAGCTCATTAACTTTGTGTCATTGTCGTCCACTAATGCTGTTGATGCACACCGAAAACAGAAAGAATCTCATCAGTGTCAACGGCATCTACTTAATATCCACGGAAATATCTCGACAGCATAGCACACGAGTTGAGAAAATGCTTATAGACACAAGATACAAATTAAAGAAAAGAAAAACAAAATTTATTTATTTTTATGTGTGATCATCTCTCTTTTTTTTCGGCTAGACGAATAAAAATCACTGATTAATGAACGCAAATGCAAGTTGGGTGAGGAAAATTTTCATCTTTATTTTATTTTCTTTCGTTGAACTGAATTATGGAAAATGAGAATGAAAGGAAATAAATTGCATTTTCTTTTCTTCTTTAGGAGGAAATTAAAAATCAAAGTGATTTTTTTATCGTCAATAATTTACGACTAAGGCAAATGAATGTTTTGAAGTTTTTATTCCGAATTACATAACATTAGGGTCGTTCATTTATGATAACTGTGAGAAGTCTTCTCATTGTTCTTTTACCTTTTATAAGTTTATCATTTTCGGATGTTATAGTTGTGTTTTATAGGGTACGATTCCGATGCTGTCAAAAAGAACTTAATAAGTGAGTGACTTATTTGAGATTGATCATAAATAAATTTCAATTAGAACGAAAACACTTAGAAGATCTGTATCTGTATCAGATCACCTTAGTAATACCATATTTGTTATTAACGTCTTGTTATCTAGACTTTTAAAAACATGCAATTAGTAAATCTGATTAAAATGGACTTAAATAAACTTAAACTCCAACAATTGTATAAACCTAGGCTTGTTTTCTAATGATACTAAGAGTATTCCAGGGTTAAGATAGGAGGATGTCTATATAAAGTAACCAATGATACTTCTCCTGCCCAATAAAGGCTCGAAACTTTGATTCATTTTTGATTTTGATTGCAATATTGTTCAGTGAACAATTCCAATGATCTGAGTATATTGATTAAGTTAGCAAATTTTATGAGAAATGAAGACAATAGTCAGACTTGTCGAAATGCATCCTACTAGCCATAAATAGAATTCTTTGTTTGTGTTTTCTCATTAATTTACAAACTCAAAACAAAAGAATATTTTCCAAATCCATATTCTCAAACAAGACTAATCGGAAGTTAAAAAAAACTCCTTCGCATTAAAAAATAAACTCCCCAGTCATATTACTCTGCATGAAGTTCATTAAAAACTTTCATCGCCTCATAACATAAATTTTCTTCCGTCCTAATTTATCGCAATCTTGTAAATTATGATCAATAAGAGCCGTATGACTCTGCAACAATGTTTAGTATAATCGAGTATCCATCCATACTGTGCTCTACACTAAACAACAGTATAAATGCACAAAGTCAAATTGAATAAATTTCTTTGAATGGACACGACCAACGCGACACGAAAAAAAGAAATAAATAAAAAATTTATTTTTCAAGCGCAGAAGAATCTATAAAAATTCAAAAGTTATGATGTCTGCTGGCCATAAAACATATCGTTGAATCTCATTTCCAGACGCTTTTTGAATAGTATTTTTTTTTGCCTTTCTGCATTTGAATGCGAAACGAAATATAAATTTTAAGCAGAAATCTTCATTCATTTTTAGAGCTCGAAGGTATATCCAAACTAGACAGAACATAAACGAAAATAAAATTTGTCCATCACTAGTTCAGTGCACTCGCAGACTTGCCACTTGTTATGAGAATATGAGAAGATAATGGAATAGTTTTAATATTAGACTGGATTTGTGGATATAAAGCGCATGACTTTTGGATTAAAATCTGGATTTTTCTATCTAGATATGATAAATTAACCTCCTTGAACTATAAACGGTTTTTTTAAAATTAAAAAAATTTAACGGCTTTTATAAGTTTGAATAACCACTCAACATAATTTAAAAGAACTTCTTTATTGCTCAAAAATTTAAAGCCTTCCAAAATTTATCGATTTTAGGATTTTAACAACAAGAATGGATTTTGAATATTTAACGATTATTATAAGTTCAAAAATTTAACGGCATTTTAGCATTTAAAAAATTCAATTTTTTTAAATGCAAAACTTCCACTGTCAAAATAGAAATTCCAGTCAAAAACATAACATCCCATTAAAACTAGACATAATTCCACAAATTATGCGAATATGCATTTTAAAATTTCTTCATGCTTTTAATTTCTTCCGAGAAATAACTGCGAAAAGAAATGTTTTTTTCGGCAAATGAATTTTTTTTTCTCACATCAAACAGCAAGCTGAAAAAAAATGCAAGTCTACATGTATGTGGGCATCTTTTTATTTCTGAAATGAAAATTAGAGCTTGTTAGCAGTATGATACACTTATATATTTTCTGACAAATATCTTTTTTCCGCTTATTTGCCGAGAATTAAAGAAGAGAAAAAAATATCAAAAATTAAAAAGCGAATGAATTTAAGATGAAAATTTATGAATTACAAATAAATTTTTGTGAACTTGCGCTCAACTGTAACATCAAAAGAGGAGATAACAGCTCTTTGATATAATTTTGTTTCCCCGTAAGCGTCATTTACCATTTTTTATAAGCCTTACTTAACCCTACGGAGAATTTTGAAAGAAATTTTTAAATCGAAGTTTATTGAATTGTTATTTTTTAATTTTGGATGTGGAATTAGCGATAATTTTAGGGGCCGTTCACTTATGACGTCCGATATTAACGGTCATTTTTCAAAAAAGAACAATGGAATTCCAGGAATTCTATTGTTTTTTACTACGTTTTTTCTTGCTGACCCCCCCCCCCCCCCCCTCCCAAAAGAAATTTCAAAAAATTAAATTTTTAAATGTCATTTCTGTTTTTGATTGCAATTTTTCTTGAGTTCAAAACCAAATCGTCCGTTGTTCAAAACGCAAATCTCAATCAGCAATTTGCTTCAAATTAAATTGAATGAAATGCCACAAATCCTCAACAAACTAATAATCTCACATCTCAGCCGTAAAAAACCACAATTTCAATCTGACAAAACTATTACACGAGAGAAATCATGTACTTACTTCATAAGCTATGGTTCATTGCACATGATATTCGATACGAGATCAAAGATTTCAAATTCTCATGGCTTTAGTGCAAAATCAAAAAGTCGAATGGAATTTTCAACATCAGCTACTTAATTATTGAGCAGGAAAGCACAGGCATTGGACAGTGTTCAGCCAAATCTTTAAGTTTAATCTAATTGCAGCAACCAGGATATAACATTTTTGCATGGATCACTGAATTTTAATACATAAAATGGAACCATAAAAACCTCAAAATAATGTAAGTTACTATCCACACATAGACACCGTTTACGTCATCGATTAATTTTTCAACTACTTCTGAGCACTATTCAATATCCAAGTATTCCATTGTGCCTTGCTATTCGCCGGTACATTGAGCATTTGTGCAGATATCCACAAGAAAAAGAACTCTTAAGTGTGAGAAGAAAATACAAAAAAGAAACGTGTGTTGCGTGTTTTTTTGTCTGTTGAGGTTAGAAATATAAAGTTGCAGATGGCGTTAAAATGATGAAGTTGCAAAAAAAATGAGAAATTAAGTAAAAGTCATTAAAGAATTATAAAATTAAATTACAAAAATGAGACGCCGTGCTGTGCTCGTGGAATGAACAAAGCAGCGAATCAGGTGAAATGCTCAATCTTTCTTTCTTTTTGCAGCATTCAATTAGCACATTGATGATGTATCTCAAGATTATATGAGAAAATAAATTGAAGTGAATTTCATCGATTGGTGATTAAAGCCAAACCAACATTGGTCTTAAAAAATGAGCTGTCATCGGAGATGAATGTTTATGATATTTATTGAAAGTAAATGGCACCGTTAAAAAAGGGAGCTCCACAACTTTTATGTCCAATGGCAATGTTTGCAAATAAAAATTCTGGAAAATTACTGGAGTACAGAGTTGCAATTAACTGATTTAATTGACCGAATGTTAGGATCTGATGCATTGTTCCAAATGTAGATGTCTACACTAGATGAAGAATGTAGATTCTTCAATAGTTTTTGTCTAGCTAAGAAATTTTCTTCATAAAGATCGATTCTATATGAAGATAGAAAATCTAATCTACACAAAGATTATTTCTACATAAAGATTCGATGTAGATGTCTACAATTCTACATTTTTTCCAGGTCTACATCAGAGAAGAATGTAGAATTGTAGACATCTGAATCGAATCTTTATGTAGACAGAATCTTCATGTAGAAATAATCTTTGTGTAGATTAGATTTTCTATCTTCATAAAGAATTGATCTTTGATGTGCTGAAGCATTTAGGCAAATACGATGTTTTCTGTACTGTTAAAAGATTGTCTACAGTAGGCATAAATGCACTTATCTAAATCAGACTAAACTTAAAAATTAGATCTTCATACATATTAACATACATCACTTACCAGTTAAATTCAGAACTTTTACCGTCTGCTTCACATAGGCAGATATATAAGGTCTGGATGTTTGCATTGTCTAAGTAAAGATATTGCAATGTTCACTTTGAAGACAACTCTGAAATGGAGTTACATCAAAAGAGAGGCAAGTCCAGTAACAACTACAACAACAACCTCATAAAGTTTATCTTGCGAAAAAAATTTGTCTTACAGCAAAGAATGCGGTCGATGTCCGGAATATGGTGAGAGGGAGAGATGATAAAATAAATCAGTTAAAGTTTGGTGCCGCCAAGCAGCAAAATACATTCCTTAAAAGGTTTCAACTCTTTTTTTTATTCATCTTCTTCTTCAATTCTTTTTGGCATTTGCCTTTTCTTTCTCATTTCTTTGACTTTCACGCAGTTTGTTCTCTTTCTCATGCTCTTTCCTGCACAGCATCATTGACGTCATCGTCAGATCGAATGGAATGTCGATATAAGTTTAATTAAAATGATTCCTCATTTCATTTCACAAATAATATTATTATGGACAACAAACAGAAATCGCATGATGAGCAACGGCATAAAAAAGGAATCGACAAAGTGGCCTTCTCAGAACTGAATATTATATCAGCATACAACAATATCAAGAGAAAGAGAAGCAAGACAGCAACTTGAATGGAATGTTGGTTTTGTCTCGCATCTCAATTTCTGTTGAATTTCGACGACTATCAGCAAGGGTTTGCTTTCGGGATCGAATGAGATAGATGCTAAAAATATTCATTTCGCATGTTCTATCCGATCACTGGCACTGATTGTGCAATTTTTAACAAATAGTTTTA